ATTTGCAACTTATATACTAATATGAACAAATTATAACAAATGCAACAGAAAATCAAATAATATAAGTTAGATAATAATATAACATAATACAATTAACACAATAATATATATATATATAATATAAAACCAGCTATACATACAAAAATAATAAAAAATAAAAATTACGAAATATACAACTGGAAAACAATTACATTTATGAAGGAACATGTGCATGTCTCTCTTTTTTTTTTTTTTTTTTTTTTTTTTTTTTAATCAAATGTATGGAAGTTGGTGGGTGGGGAGTAACTAACTAATTATATATATGTGTGTGATAGAAATTCTTGGAGTTGAATAATCATTTATAGTAATTCATTAAGTCTAGAAGAATCCTTGGCAGAAAGCACAGGACAGCCATTTTGTCCTATTTAGGACTAATCAGCAGTGCACATCAACTATTGAGAATCGAACCTGGACCATTGGGATACAAGGTGGCTCTGGAGGGAGCGGCTTAGGGAAAGAAGACCTGGCTTAAGCTGTTGGGTCTCAAATACTTGGATGAGTATCACCATGGAACTTACTGAGTAGTGGTGCTATATCAAGTCTAGTCTGGAGATATATATATATATATATATTTGGGCACCTCAAGGCGGTGTAATGGTTAGCAAGCTTGGCTTGCTAAAACAATTACGAGTGAGTTCGATCCTCACTGGGTGCCCCCTAATTTCGGCCTTGTGCCACATCTAAGCTACGCTTGGAAAATCACTATATATATATATATATATATATATATATATATATATATATATATATATATATAGGAAACAACTGACATTTATAATCCAGAGTTCTTAGCATTTATTTTTATTTAAAAAAAAAAACAAAAAAAAAACTACTCAGTAGAGCATATTATAATTACTTTTTTTTAAAATGTTCCCATGGCACAGAAATTTCTGTTTCAAAACTAAAACTTCAATCCCAAATTTAATTATAAAAATTAAATCTTATTCACAAATGAAAGAAATTATTTTATATATATATATATATATATATATATATTTTTTTTTTTTTTTTTTTTACAGCTGTTACTCCCACCTAATTTTATGAAATTTTGAGAAATTAAAAGAAATTAAACTATTTTTTATATTAGTTAAAAGCAGGACTCCTTGGAGAATATAAATCAATTTTTTTTTTTTTCAAACACTTACTCATCTATCAAAAATCTTCTTTGATTTGTAAAATAAAAAATGCAATAAAAGTATGACCTCATTTAATTAGAAAAGCTTTTAATTGCTTTTAGAAATTAGATATATTAAGGATACTATTGTCTTAAGAAAAAAAAATTTTTCTATGAATAATGAATTTTTACAAGAATTGTTTTTATTTTTTTTAAATTTTAATTGTAATTTATAAAGTTTTAAAACTTTTAAACTTCTGTATAAATTTCAGCTTTTTAGATGATATTATTAAGTGAAATCTATAGTAATCAAATGGGAAAGCATCATACATTAAGATTTTTAAAAGAATTTAAAAAAAATTTTATTATATAAATGTGCCAATTTTTGTAAGTACAGTCAACTATACAAAATATTATCAGGAAATAAGAGTGATAACTTAAATTTAAAACCAAAATTTCTAAAATTCATTAAAACATTAGATTATGGAGAATATTTTCCAAAATTTTAAAAATTACTAAGTACTTAAAAATTATATAGAAATATTTTCTTAAATTGTTTTATAAAGTCTGTAGAACAAGATTAAATCTATCATCACCTCATCAAACATAAACTTGGCTACTATCAGTTAAAAACAGCTATTGGGTTAAAAATTTAATTTTTGTGATATTTTAAACTTAAATAATGTTTGTTTCATATCAGATTAATTGTACTTTAAATCAGCTAATGATGCTCAAAGTTTCAGAAAAGTATATTTTATTTTTACAACCAAGAACTAACTTATGTTTACAAATATCTCAAAAATGGATGACTTTGATGATGTTACTGAAAAAAATAATGAAAATTGATTCCAATCAATATAATTTCTGTTTGAAATACTCCAGAGTATTTTGCTTAGTGGAAATAGTAAATTTAATCCTTTAGCTTTCAATTAAAGCTAAAATGAAAACTTTTTCACTTTTAAAAAAGTTAATTTAAATCTTAGGTATCATGATATTTGTAGAGGTACTTGCATTATAAGGAACAACAATTAACCCAATCCTATTGGAGATTTATGTTGTATGGTAACCACAAAAAAAACCCTTAAAGAAAACTCAGGCAGTACTTAAAAATTATCTAAGTAAAATATTAATATATTTTAGAAGAATTTTGTTTATTCTATCCATTTTATAAAATCTGCACAATGCACATGCCAAATATTTTATTAATTGTTCAATAAAGTGCATTTAGGTAACTGATAGTCTTTTGTTTCCATACATATATACACTAATAAACCTTTAATGTCAATATATCTGATAATTTTGTACAAGGTTATGGGATTCGATCCATTTTTATTCGCCTGTCCTGGATAAGATGTTAAACTACATCCGCGTCATGGGTAAGATGTTAATCTACGTCCAGCAGCAAAGCCTCTGATCAGGAGGTTTTGTGGAGTGTGGAACCACTTCTTAATTGCTGGTGTTCCCAGGTCCACCCTAACCCGGGGTGGTAGCACCTGTTAGGGTCCAGGCTATTGGCAAATAGTTAAGTATTACCAGCAATACTTTTTTGAAAAAAAATTATTACCAACAATACAATTTTAAAGGAAAGATATTACCAGAAACAAATTTTTGATAAAACAAAATATTTTGAAGGAAAAAAAAAAAAAAAAAACTATTACCAGCAATATATTTTTGAAAAAAAATATTACCAGCAATACGTTTTTGAAAAAAATATTTTTGACAAAACAAAATATTACCAGCAATAAAAAATTTTGTTGGCATTAAATAACCCATTGAGGTTGATATGCCGTAAAACAAAGGTTACCAGGATCATCAAACACCTGAAGAAGGCTGGAGGGCACATTGGTTGAAACATTATGATAACAACAAAAATGAGAACAATAGTCCACAAGTAAATAATGTCAACAAGTCAGACAAAATGTGTTTGTGTGTTGGCAGGTGGAGGGGATGATGAGGGAGTGAGTGGAGAATTGTATTAGGGCCTATTTTTGTCATATGAACCACTTATATTTTTGGTGACAACATTCTTTAGTTTTTTTATTGTATAACAGAGAGCTTCTCTGCTATTAAGATGGATTTTGTTTTTGCCTAAATAACAATCACGCAACATATTGGAAGAGCTCCTTTCTGCAGAAAATAGATGTATGTACTTTTTTAATTGATATTTCTCACTGACTCTGGAAACAGACTCAATGCTGCAAATTAAATTACTTACTCCCTCCTTAAAAAACTATAACCTGTAGATTGCAGGCACTTCAAACAAAACTATACACCAAATTTCTGCAGGCAATTGTAGGAATATTTGAAAAAAGATCTATTAATATTAAAAATTCTATATACAGATTTGTCAAACATGGAGAAACATGCCTGAAATAAGACAGTCTCAAACAAAAGGATGGTTTTTTCTTCAAATGACACTGCTTTTTTTAACTACCATCACTCTTCGGCAGTGTTTATTGTTTTCAAAAGCAATTATTAGAAATTTAAATAAAAGAAAACGTAAAGTAAAAATATGAAAGCGAATTGACAACAAAAATAACAAACTAAACTAAAAACACTATTGCTTATGGTTGGCAAAATATCGGTTAATTGCCATTTGATTCAAACTTCAAATAAAATTCTTTAGCTGGTTCATATATTTTAATTAATAATTTAACTGATTATAAATTTATGAATAAAAGATTGTTTTCACATTTATTTCTTTATAAATTAGTCGTAAATGATTGCATTTATTTATTTTTTTTGGAATGAAAAAATATAAAGTTATTCTAGTAAAAATAATCTAATAGGGTTTAATATTTGGTAAATTTGCTTTTTAACACCCACGCTAAATATCTCTTAAAATGTTCCCAAATCATCATAATTCCGTGTAAATGTACATGCTGAACTCGAATTAACAATTAAATTACGACGTAACTTAAATGCGGAGTAATTTTAAACAAGTAAATTCAGTTTAAGAGCAGTAAAAAAAAGGCTCTTGATTAAACCTCCGCTGGCTAAATGTTCAGCAGTGAATGTAGTTAAACAAGGCCAGTAATGGCCGACAGATGAACGCGACTGAGTTCGAACTTTTATTGTCGATAACTCCAAAACGGTAGGTTTCTTCATAATTTAATTGTTAATTCGAGTTCAGTATGTACGTTTACACGGAATTATGATGATTTGGGAACATTTTTTAAGAGATATTTAGCGCGTGTGTTAAAAAGCAAATTTACCTATTTTTGTTGAAAATTCTCAAGAACAAAAAAAAGTTTAATTTAGCTTTTTATTTATTCCAATTCTAATCATCGCTTTTTAAGATAATAAACATTACCGAAGAAGTTAGTTTTAGTAGTTATAAAAGCGGTGTCATGGGAGAAACCGTCCTTTTGACACTATGTTTTATTGCGCGCATGTTTCTTTTCCATAAATTTGCCATAAATGTTCTTAGTTACTTGTTTGATTTTTCAATTCACTCCAGGCTAAAATTTGCTTATCAACATTTAGAAATAATTAATACATCACTTTCACTCTTTTAATTTAAAATTAACTTGTTAAGTTTTCCAGATCAAGTTTTAATATAAACTTGATTTCTGATTTTTCTAAAAAGAATTAGCCGAAAAAATATATAAAATAAAGAATGAGCTAAAAAGTTAATGGTTTCTGTTACTAAAAAAAATTCAAATAAAAATACTCATTTTTTTCAAATGTTAGCACAAGTTATCGCCCATAGTTTGTCGATTTTCATTGGATAGTTTTTGAAATTGCGAAATATTCAAATACATGGAATGTTTGGCTGGATTGCTGTGTTAAATTATTTATCAGTTTCTGTTTACTTATCAATACGGTATTACGTCCGGATCTCAAGATGTCTTATAATGACCACCTTAATTTACACGAGAACACTCCTGTTAGGAGAAACACTACAGAAAATAATTTAAGCTCCTGTTCCCGGATATTAGCACCTCTTGAGAATCCTGAGATTACTCGCCGTTATACTGCTGATGCTGCCAATTTTGGTACTCCTGAGTGTTTTTCTGCAATCCAATTACCTGTTTCAAGTGGTCCGAATTCCCCTTATTTGAAAGATGTTCATGTTGAAGAGGGTGACCAGAGTAGTCTTACTGTTGCCGTTCGTGTGCGCCCTTTTAATCAACGGTAAGTTTACTTAAGTTAACAACAGTGTGAGGTAGTTGTCAAAAGTTTTGTTTTCCTCTTTGTCTTGCATTTTGTCAAACAGGGCATCACAAAATAAGGAGTGATGGATAAAAAAATAATCATTAAACTTTTAAAGATTCCTGATTCTTTTCATTTTATCCTCTCATAAAATGAACATTTTGTTTTTATTATCCTACTGTAAAAACAAAAAAAGTTTTTGTTTTGATTTTTTTTTTAATTCAACGTTTTTTTTTCTTTGCGCTTGTATTTTTGGGGGAATGACACCTAAGTTTTTACAAAAAGACTTTTTAAAAAATTATTCAAGTTTTAAAAACTAATGTTTCGCATAGTTTAAAAAAAAAAAAAAAAAAAAAACGGAAAATAAAATTTTCTTATTTCTTTTGAAAATTAATGATGTCAGTATATGATTTTTTTAGACAAAAAAATGACAGCTCAGTAACATTGGCATACTGAGTTGAGACCAAGAGAACAAATCTCTAGTTCTCAATTTCCGCAAAATGTGGAAGTGAGCTGAGAATTTCATCTCCTTCCCTATAGCTCTGGGGATCTTTGTTTTTTTTATTTATGTTTTTATTCGCTATATAGAGAACTCATTCTCGTGAGTTGCTTTTTAAGTTAAGTCAAAGTGCTTTGTAAATTTTCTCTGCACTTCTTAATTCTTCTTAAATTGTTTTTTTTTTTTTTTTGTTTTTGTTTTTTTTACCATACGTTTTCATTCTTTTTTTTTTCTCTTACTATTACACCCGTCTCCCCAGGTGAAATTTGTTTTCCTACGGTCTTTGTTGAGTTTATTTTATTTTTTTTAACGAATCAAATCTTTTTAAAACCCTCAGAAATTACTCGTTTTTCATCCCCCCCAACCCGAGGCCCAATTCCGACCATCGGTTGGGGGGGGGTTGTCGGGTGATAACTGGAAGTTTTCGGTGGGGGAGCCACAAAAAAAAGAAGGGTAATTTTATATTTACGATGGTGAGAATCGTTAAAAAAAAAAAAAAAAAAAAATAGGAAAAACATTTCTCGGAAACAGTCTGTTAAAATGCCACAACAAACTGACGGTTTCATTCGTTCAATGCCGCTAAACAACCAAAAAACACGTCCTTTATATTGAGATTATCTCCCAGTATATGATAAAGTTGTATATCTTTTTAAAAAGCTCTTTGAATGTTGATTAATATTCACATAAGAACTATGATCATAAAATCAGCAGAATTTGTGGTTAAATGTTGACCAATTCAGTGGAAAATAACCTTATTTTTTGTTAACCAAGAATTTTTATATGAAAAAGTGACATAAGAAAATATTTATCTACAACCTAATTTTAAGTGCAATCGGTGAATTGAAACAATACTTTGCAGGGGTCCAACAGTGGCTCCTATTTGACATTGTTCCTCCTGCCACTGAACTCTGTCCACTGTGGCCAATCCTGCTTGTGGTAGTGTGCTATGGTGACCCTGCTGTTCCAAAGGCAAAAATAACATGGAAACTTGGTAGAGCTTGCTTGAAGACCCATCAGGGAGGCCACCATTTTGAAGTCTCTGATAACCTCCCAACCATACTCTTCATATTCCAAGGCATTTAACAAGATCTTGACACTGCTGTATTCCTCTTTGATTTGCACCGTGGGGAGCCAGCACGGTTTTGAGGCTTCTGTATGAATTGTCAATGAAGAGGCACCACCTGCTGGGGTTACAGGTGATTCCAATTGCCTCGAACAGACCAGTCATATTGTAGCAGGAGCAAAACCCATCTTGATGAGTTAAAAGGCTTGAAAAACACTGATGCTTTCTCTGACCTGCAAGTTGCACATTTTCATCAAATAAATTCCACTATTTGAGTCTCAACATCAAAATTGGGCTATGTAAGACAAAGATCTCTGACCAGGTCTTTTTGGTCGGATTAGTGTGGAGTTTTCTTCTCAGCTGTAATCTGGATCAATGACTTCATCCTCTTTTAAAGACTGCTGGTCTGTCTTTGGAGGAGCAAGTATGGGGAGCTCAGATTAGTGTGGCACTGTGGTGAGGGATGACAGGTGATAGTAGGTGCATTCTTGCCAGCTTGATATTTGGAAGAGTCCACCATGCAGAAAAAGCAGTTGCATGAGTGGTCAGTTGGGTCCCTCCAAATTTGTGGGATTGCAAATTTCATGGCTTTGTTAAATAATAGTTTAGCGGGCTATTATATATTTTTTTTTTTTTTTTTTTTTTTTAGAGAAGTGTAATGCTGCTCTGACTTTCTCAGTTTGACTTTAGGGATCAGATACAAGACAAAATAAAGGAAGTCTATTTTGATTGGCTGAACTAGCATGGAAATGATAGAGATATAGAATGGTTTTTCAGGGAGTTGTTTCCTAACTCTCAAGGAATGTGTATATGTTTATCTGTCATGTCTGGAGGCAACTTCCCAGTGGAGTGAGAGTAATTAAGGTTCAAATTATCTTTGTTGAAGTTCTTTTATCTCTGAACCAAAACAACTAGCAATCACCGGTTGAGAGAGGAGATACAACATTGTATTAATTGGCACAGTGACCAAGAGACTACAGCATGAGAGGACTATACAACATATTTTCCCCTCTGTCCAGGTCACAAAAGAAAAATTTGAAGGGAATAATAGTCATTTCGTTTGCTTTCTAGACAGAAGCAACTAGGAAATAACACTGACCAAAGACAAAAAAAAAAGTCAAAATATTGTTACACAATGAACTACGAGTGTGGAGAGTCATAATTATCATTTCTGATTTTCAGTTGTCATCATTCTCATACTAGATGCATGTTAGCTAAGATGTACTGATTGAAATAGTAAATAAGTGTATCAACAGAATCTGTAGAATTAACAACTATATTAAGAGTTAATATTCTAGAGACATAATATCATATATGAAATTTAGGTAATTGCAATGTATAGTTTAAAGAACAAATCTTAAATTTATATCAAATAATAAAACAATGTTATTTGATCAATAAAAGCAGAACTATTAAAAGACCATAACAAAAAAAGAAACAAAAAAAAAGAGGAATAACAAAAAAATGTTACTATAAATTAGTAATACTGAAATATCTTATTACTATATAAAACTCTGAACTTTGTATCTTGTGTGTTTGCCAGAAGTCATATATAGAGAGTTGGGAAAAGAAAGATGTAAATTTATTATTGTGTAGGAAGTGGGTGATGGAGATGATTTTCTTACAAGAAAGTGTATAAAACACAAAAAAAAAAATTCAGTCCCCAAACAGGATATGCCCAGCTGCCATCGATGTCCATGCCACTCTCACTTGTTAACTTCACGACCTCATGCTAAAAGCAACAGTGCTAACAAACTTCAAAGAGACAGCTTCAGACTATGTTAACACTGTCCACAGTAAGAAACAATTTCTATCTCTTGTATCCTCTTTACTATGAACCATGCACACGTTGACTTTTTCACACAAATACACATATAACAACATTTCATTGTTTCTCACATATGTACACAAAAAGACTTTATATTTTATTTTAGAATTTTATTAACCCAAACAAAGACATTACTTTCCAATCTATGACCAATTGCTTGTATTCTTGTCGTTATATTAAATTAGTGTTCATTTGTTGAAATTGTTTTCTTTTCTACTGGATTTTATTCTTTCAATAAAAATTATTTGACTATTCTAAATGGCCGAATTACACACAGCCCCACAACACTATTTCATGTTATTGTATCGAATCCTAACACTGAATTTTGACATTCCAAACTCTTATAGTCCAACTTCCTTCAAACAGACAATTTTTTTAATATTGAAAGCAACTTCAATAACTACAAATAAATGTATTTTTAAAATATCTCTACTATCACAAACTCTTCATGAAACTAAATGTAAACATAAAATGGTTGACCCAATGAGTCACAGGTGGTCTGGTAGCTAATAAAAACACCTAAACTGGTTTATTGGTACTTTCTTATCAGAGCTAAAATCAAGGACAAAAAAAATGTACCTAATGTTATATGTAAATAAAAAATATATATCATTAATAGCTAATTACCTTTATGCCCACCAACCACTCCTTCTGTTTAAAGAAATGGCTTGTAGGACTTAATATATACTGAACCCAAAAATTTCACATGATAATCAATATCAGCCTTAGTTATCACTGAGAATATGTCCGGGCTATAAGACTGAACACACTGCTGGTTTTTAATCAAATGTTCAGCTATCGCTGAAGCTGATACATTAGCACACCCATGTAAATTGTCTACCTTTTGTGAATATTGACTGGTATGTTTTGATTGATCCGTGCCTTCAACCTTTGAACAGTTCTGTTTACATAATCAGCATCACACTGACATCTGGATTGGTCTTGACATACCAGGTGTAACAGCAAAATTGTCCAATTGTTAGATTAAGCTCTGGATCATTGTATCTTAGAAATGACTAAAGATATCTTACTGGAATTCTCAAAGGTTTTTATAACACAATTGGATTCTACTTTGAGCAATAAGAATATAAACTTACTCGCCAAGATTAACACAAAAGGTATCATCCACATATCTAACGTAATACCTGGTTCTTTAATACAAGCAAGTAACTCTTACTTTGAAAAAAAAAAAAAAAAAAAAAAAAAACAAATATATTGGCCATTGTCGACTCCAAAGGACTACTCATCACTATCAATTTACATGACCTTATTAAAGCTAGATTCCATGGACGTGGTGACAAACTCTATAAACTCCATAAAGATAGTTTCAAGAATACATGGGTAAAGTGTGGTGGGACAAATAGCTACAGTACAATGCTTCTATGCAAATATCTATAGTTTCTTGTTGGTTGTTATAAAATGCTTTATTTTACAGCCAATGAAGATTCTGAAGACTACACAATTTCAAAATATGACCTAGAAGTAGATTATTTAAATAAGGATTTATTTTATTTTTTTAGCTTAAACTCATATAGAAGAATTGATTTCTCATGCCTGCATAGAAACCATTAAAATATTTTGCAATTGTCTTC